CCTTATTAACTCTCCTCCAGACAGCTCTGATAGGAGAAGGAACCATGTCTATGGGAATGGAATGACATGGCACCCAGAAGAGGGGAAAAGGGACACTGAAAAGTAAAGAAACTCTTTTGGCCACTGGAAGGCTGGTTCAGCCATTGGACAGGAATTGGGGTAATTTAGGTTTGCAATAGGTATCCACTGAGGAAAGCAATTTGTAGGGTGTGTTTTTAATCCCAACCCTGATGAGAGCTTGGAGTGTGACCTTGGTTGATTTTCTCCCTCTATCTGGGCTTTGGTTTTCCCATGTGTGAAATGAGGGGATTGGGCTGGAATCATATCTGAGGAAGTGTTTTCACTCTAACACTTAGGTCCTGTGATTGACTAAGAAACATTTTCTACTATCCACAACTTGCTCTAGGTAAAATACTACTCTACAAGGACAGTCACCTGACAGAGTTTTCATGGATCATGTAACTGTTGATACCTTCTGCATCTCTCAGTTACAGTATCTCCCTTCTCTTCTGTCTACTTGAAAATAATAAGAGATCCTCTGTGCAAAGCACTTTCCAATTTGTAGGGGGCTCTCAGAACTTTTTCAAGTTAGATTTTACCAGCATGCCTCTCAGGTGAATGAGAACAGACATGACAAGTCTATAGATGGAGAAATTGAGGTCCTGGAAGGTTAAATGATTTACCCAAGGTCACACTGTTAATAAGTGGCAGTGCCAAGACTTTAACCCATGTCTTAGGGCATCTCTTACTGGACTTTTTTCAATACACCCCAGTGCCTCCATTCCAAGATATGTTTCCTTACCTGTGATATAACAGGTGACCTGTCTGTTCTGCTCAGAGATATCAGCATCAAAGGTTTTAAGAGTGGCCACAGGTTCACCAGGTTCACTGTTCTCAACCACAGATCCTCTGTAGTCTTCAGAAGCAAATTGGGGAGCATTGTCATTCTCATCTGTAATGGAGACTTCAACCAGTACCTGGGAAGATAGCTGGATGGTCCGGCCATGGTCATAGGCCACCACATAAAAGTGGTAGGTCTGATGGGTCTCACAGTCAAGTTCCTGGAGTGTGGTGATCCAGCCCGTCTCACTGTCAATGGCAAAGAGCTCATGGATATTGCTGTCGGGGTCCACTGGCAGCCTGTAGCTCACGTGGCCATCATTCCCAGTGTCCTGGTCATTGGCCGTCACTTGAATGACTGTGGTTCCCACTGGCATATTCTCGGTGAGGACAGCTTTATACGGATCAGCCTCAAATAGAGGCCTGTTGTCATTGACATCCTTCACTTGGATGTTGACAGACACCAAGGAAACCAAGTATGTGTCATTATGGGGGCAGTGCGCCATCAAATCAATCTGGTACCATTTGGTGGACTCATAGTCCATGGCCTTTCTCAACTTCAGAACCCCCGTGTTTCGGTCCAAGGAGAAGACACCATCCCTGTTGCTCTCCGGTGTGGTGCCCTGCACTAGACTATAGATGACTGGATCTTGAGCTGCCACTGCTTTAACAGAACCAATTTCAGACCCTTCTGGAAGGTCCTCAGATGCAGAGAAAGTATACAGAGGTTCCGAAAATTTGGGCAAGGATGCTTCATTAGCAACTACCCAGAGCTGTAGCTGCACCAGAGAGTTCCAGTGAGGAGGGCCTCCATCTTGGGCTTTGATTTTTAAGTCAAAGGCCCGATTTTCCAGTCCTACCAGGCTCTCTTTCACCTTCACAACACCAGTGGTGGGGTTGATTTCAGTGATATTTTTATCCAAGCCCTTTATCGAGTCCATGGAGTAGGTGACATCTGCATTCCGACCTTCATCTGCGTCGTAGGCCAGCACCTGGATAACTGGGAAGTCTTTACTGACATTGGATTGAATGGACACTATGTACTCAGAGGCTTTGAACTGTGGGGCATTGTCATTTTCATCCGTGAGGATGATCTTCACAGTGCAGAAGGCCACCCTTCCTCCTCCATCCTGAGCCATGACCTTGATAGCAATGACTCTCTCTGTTGAATTTTCCCTATCCAGTTTCTGCAGAGTGGTGATCTGGCCACGGGGGTTTATGGAGAACTTCTCACCTGCTAGTTTATTGATGATGGTATAATCTACAGTGCCGTAGGGACCACTATCTTTGTCTATGGCGAGCAACTCAATCACCTTGGTTCCTACCTTCGCATTCTCTGCTAATTCTGCCTCGTAAACATGCTGCTGGAACTCTGGGCTATACTTGTTGGCATTTGTTGTGTTGATATACACAGGCACCGTTGCTAGGAAGACCCCATCAGAAGCACCTACCCTTAAATTGTAAGAAGAGTCCAGATGCTTTTTGCAAAGGTTCAACATAGAAATGATTCCTGATGAGCTGTTAATGGAGAAGTGCCGGTCCTGATTGCCAGAAAGAATCAGGTACTCTAGGCGAGAGGTATCCCTGTTGTCGGGGTCTAGAGCTTGAACTTTGAGAACCAGGTGTCCACAGGTTGCCAGCTCACTAACACTGGCTTCATACTGAGGTTGCCTGAACTCTGGGGGGTTGTCATTGATGTCAGACACACCGACAACCACAAGGGTTTCACCAGTGAGTGGGGGGTCTCCTCTATCCATGGCCCTGACCTTCACATGAAAGTGTTGCTGGGCTTCATAATCCAGCTCTCGAACTGTGGACATTTCCCCTGTGCTCCCATTGATCTGGAAGAATTCAGAAACATCTGAGCCATCCTCTACGATCTGATAGGAGACATCGCGGTTCTTTCCTGAATCCTGGTCAGAAGCCAAGAGTTGGATCACAGGGGTCTGAGCAGGCAAGCCTTCTGAGACTGAAGTGGTGTAGACCAATTGCGAGAAGGTGGGAGGGTTATCATTGACGTCCTCTACCAGGACTTCCACTGTGGCTTCAGAAAATGACCCCAGAGCTGTGTCTGTGGCTCTGACTGTGAACACGTGTTTGGTCTTAGACTCGTAGTCCAAAGGGCCTGTTACCGTTAGGACACCAGTCTTAAAGTCAATGGTGAACAGCATCAAGGGTTCTTCCTCCACAATGTTGTAGATGAGCCGGAGTCCCTCTGGACTCCGGGCCTGAGTGTGGAGAATTGGGGTATAGAGTGTGATATTTTCAGGCACTCTGATTTTGTAGTAAGGACTCTGAAACAGTGGGTTGGATTTATTTCTTACGATGACAAGTACCTCTTCCTCAGTCTGGAGGGATGGGGTTCCTGCATCCCGAGCAATGACTTTGAGGTAGTACTTATTTAAAGCTTGATAATCAAAAGGTTTCTTCAGTGATATGTCTCCAAGATAGGGGTCAATTCGAAAATATGTGTAATCTTCTGCAAATGCATATGTGACAACAGCATTTACTCCCAAATCTTGGTCAGTGGCAGATACCTGAAAGAGGACATCCCCTGGCTCTGTGCCATCTTGGATGATTGTATGATAGGGCAGATGCTTAAATTCAGGGTGATTGTCATTGACGTCCTCAACAGAGACTCTGACCAGAGCCTGAGCCACCCGCTGAGGGGTCCGATTGTCCCTCAGTTCCACTGCCACCTCATGAGTGTCCTGCTGTTCTCTGTCAAATGCCACACCTCTTGTCTGCAACACGCCTGCTGACTTGACCATACAAAACATGTCTGTGCCATTTAAGAGGAAGTAGTGAAGAGTGTCATTCAAATGATTTCCCTGGACACCAAGAATCACCAGTGCCTTTCTGTCCTGTGAATTCTCCTTCACTGTTGCCCTGTAGACATGCTGGTCAAACCGTAAGCTTGTGTTAAGAGCTTGTGTCAAAGAAATTTTTACCAGTGCAGTATCTTGATACAGGCCATCAGAAGCCTTGATGGTGAGCTCCCGAGAGTGTCCCAAGAGAAAAGGATTCAATACAGATATGCGACCATTGGTGGGATGGATAGCGACAGCTTCATCAGCGTTGCCAGTTTTGATGCTATAATTGACTTCTGAGTCATCGTCACTGGCCGACACCTCGAGTAGATCCATACCCCTATGGATGGGCTTCACTATTGTTACTTCATATACCTGGTCTGAGAACCTGGGAGGAGAGTCATTTACATCTCTGATATAGATGATGGCCTGGGCGGACTTGGGTGCAAATAATATGGGGCTTCCTTGGTCATGGACATAGATGCTGAACTGCAAAGAGGTCATGCTCTCATAATCCATATCTGATATGATGGTTAGCGTTCCCATGCTGGGATCAATTTTGACAAACTTCAAGGCCTCTTGCTCTAAAATTTCATAGACCAACAAGGAATTAGCTTCTCCGTCACTGTCAGAGGCACGAATCACAAAGGGGTTGTTGTTTTCATCCATGATCATGCTGTACAATGGAGCTGCTTCACTAACTTGGCCCACAAAAGTCGACTTTAAGAACATGGGGGCATTGTCGTTTTCATCAATGA